TCCGGGGCAGGCGGGAATTGAACTCATGCGGAAGCGGCTTTAGATTCTCAGTGCTGTGCTTTAACCCGCTGCGCCATCAGGGAGGGCCAAAGCCTTCTTTTGACTTGCATTTGAGAGCTTGAAATTTTGTATCAAGTGACTCATGGAAGGAAATAACACTATCTACCCCTTAGTTAGGCTGAGAAGGCTAGCTCTTCCCTTAGGGCTCAGGAGTGATATGGGAACACAGGAAGAGTGAGAGGAGAAGGAAATTTATTAGATTTTAATGACATTGTCAAACAGATATGATTCATTGCCTCATTGTGGGTTGGCTAGAATTGTAAAATACAAAGTTGGGTGATGTCTTTCTACCATGTACAAGCATATGAATTAAGCAACATTATTACCCTCTGTTAACCTTGAATGATTGCTAGGAATAACCTTCAGTTTTACTTTCCCTGTTTCTTTTCCTGGTGGCTAAAATTTACCTCACAGGGAAGCTCCACAGACATCACAGGTTATCTTTACTGTCATCAATTCTAATTAACCTGGAGACATTATATTGTATTGTATTGTATTGTAACCTGGAGACATCATAGAGTGTAATCAGTTATTTCTGTATGTTGGTTATAGTTGGTAATAGTATTTATGCTTCTTTGTTTTAGAGAAGTCATCAGTGTTATAAATTACAAACATTCGAACTACTTCAAACATGTGCATTTTTAGCATTACTTGTATGGTATTTTGTTGACTGACCTGTCCTGTTGAGCTCGGGAGTTAGCAGCATTTATAGAAGTCAGGTGAACTGGCAACTCTTTTGAAGTAGACCAATAACAGCAGCTTCAATTTCTCCTCTCGGTGCAGGATAATGGAAAAATCTCCCATCCTCAGGATAATGGGAAACTTCTGGAAGAATGTGAGTGTGAGAGGAGGTGGAGGAGGTAAATGTGGGAGCAGTAGCTGTGATGGTGGCAGGAAAAAGCAGGTCAGTCAAATGGGGTGAATAATTTTGTAGTTGATAATGAAAAATGATTCTTTGCCTGTATTCTATTCCCAAAGGTAGTATCATATGGGTACTTTAAATTGGTTATAGTGGGACTATTTTCTATGCAAATTGACAAATGCTTCAAGTGAGGGCTTTTCCTCCCCTGAGAGCAGGTTGTTATACATTTACCAGTACACTGCTGAGTGCACCCTCTGAGTCAAGAATCTAGACTCAAATTGCAGCATATTTCCCTTTCTATACAAGCAGGTTCTTGTCCCTCCCAGCCCTTGATATTGATTCAATTTTGTGATTTCCTGGGTCAAAGAGGGTCTGATGAGGTGGAGACAGCCTATGGAAACCTCATAATGACTTAAGGACACACGGACACTTTTTCTACATTGAGCTTTAAGGTCACTAATCTCCTATTCTTTGGCAAGCTACCTCCACCACCAAAAAAGGGAAAATACTTCCCCTTCCTTTACCTCCCTTCCCCATTAAATAAGAGAAATAGAATAAGAGATTGCTTGGCATATTTATATATTAAAAATAAAACCATCTCGGGCCCTCCCTGGTGGCGCAGCGGGTTAAAGCACAGCACTAAGAAGCTTAAGCCACTTCCTCATGAGTTCGATTCTCGCCTGCCCCAGAGGTGATCCACATGGCGTGGCAGACCTCTCCTGACCCGCCCGCTGCTCCCCTCAGCAGTGTACTTTGTTGATCTGCCTGTTCTGCTCCCCACTCTGTCCCTGGTGAATCCTCTCACCCTCCGCATCTCTGGCCTGTACCCCAGTTCTGTATGAAGAAATAAATAAATCTTTAAAAAAAAAACCATCTCTATATTTACTTCTTTAATTTTGTAAAAAATCATCATTTTATTAATGTCTGATGACAAAATAACTGGTTTGAGGATGAACTTTTTTGTCAAATGGTTGCCTTGTGTCAAGATACAGAACAAAGCAAATGTGTGCACATACAAGTACATCTGTGTATGTATATCCACTCCTACACATGTATTTTTACTTTGATCAACATATTTGTTACAAACTTCTTTGTTGCCCAGTACTTATATGTTTCCTGATAACAAAATCCTCATTCTCTTTTCTGTCCATATGCTGTGGTTGGGCCTGGTCTGCTTCCCATTCCAGGCATGAATAGTTCTCATCTCTGGCCAGCCATGCTGAGTGCCTCAGGAATGGGCCTATGTATGGCCAGGCATATGTATGACCACAGGTGCAGAGACGGCTGCAGAACTGCTGAGAGACAGGCATGCACCTTTCTACTAGCTGTCCGCCTGGGAGAGTATAACCCAGGAGATGCTAGGGGAGAAGATCCTACTCACACTTTCAGTCCCTGGAGCCAACAATGCCTATAGTCTTAATTACCCCTAGATTTCATAGTGGTAGAGCCTATGGAAGTTTTATTTTGCCTGAAACCAGTTGGAGTAGTTCACACCAATGAAGAATCCTGACTGATGCAACATGTTCTACAATTTCAATTAAGATAGTAATCTTTCCAAAGAAATGATGACAACTTTTCTGACACTATGTGTTGAAATTTTCAAGAAAAATAAATTATATATGTTTTTATTTTTATATTTTGCTAAATTTTATGCTAAAATATTTGCTTTACATTTGCATATAAAGATATGTTCAACTAAAAAATTATAAGCAGGATTTATTTCCAAAAGTCTCTAGAGTATTTTATGTAGGAACACTCTTCTTGGACTCATCCACAGTCTTTGCTGCTTTCACCCTCTGCAAGGCTCCTCCTCTAATGGGCAGCTTCCTCACAGCCATATCTGTATCAACCAGAGGCCCTCCCACCAGTCGGGCAGGCGTGCTCTCCACTATGACCACCCGACCAGAGGGCACCTAAAAAGCAAAAGGTAAATAGCTAAGAGTCCATTGGCTGACATTTTCAGTAAGAGAAAAACCTACTCAAACATCACCTTTCTTTGGAAAGACATACAATGTATCTGTAAGTAACTAGGAGGTATCAGGGCATACCAGAAGATAAGAGCCAAAGATAGGGGCCAGGAGGTAGGAAAAGGGGGTTTGAATTCTACTTCTATTGTTTATTAGCTTTGTAACCAGCCACATACAATGTTCAGAAGAGGACACCAGTTACACTGGAATATGGCGTGGATCTACTAGCCAGGTAAAGGCAGCACTGCTCAGTGCCTCTCAGACACATAGAGATTTAGTCTGACTAATGTTTATAGCAATTTCTTAGAAATCCTGGAAGGTTGGTTCTGGCTGCTTTAAACCAGGATGTGCCTTATAGGTGAATATGCCTTAACGATATGAAATTTGAACAAAGAGAATGATATGAAACAAAACTGTGGAAATAACATTCTTTCAGGACTAAAGTCATTGTCTACTAAAAATGTTATGGAGAAAGAAATTTTACCGTAGTATTAAGGCCTTGAATATCTGTCCGGTGTAATATTGCATTTGACGGTCGCTCATTGTATCTGGAGGATTCTATGGCTTTTTCTTGGAGTCTTTTTGCTTTCTAAATGTGTAAATTAGAAGGAAAGTAATATTAATTGCTATTAAAACATTAACTATGTTATTTGCAATGAAGTATACAATGTACATTTATTCTCTTAAAGCTTAAAAAACTTGAAACTCTGAAATACAATTCCTAAAAGAATGACTTTTCCAGAAAGCTATAGCTACACAATACATTGTATTTATTATATTAAAACAGGAATTAAACACAAATATAAAAGCCATGAAACAAAACACCTTTCTTCAAAAATCTGAGTAAGGAGAACATGAAGGAGCAAATGGATGACTTGTAAAGGGTAGGCTCTTTAAGCAGCATTTTTAAAAAATAGGAGCATAGGGCCCTCCCTGGTGGCGCAGCGGGTTAAAACACAGCACTGAGAATCTAAAGCTGCTTCAGCATGAGTTCGATTCCCGCCTGCCCCGGAGGTGACCACATGGCGCGGCAGACCTCTCCTGACCCGCCCGCTGCTCCCCTCAGCAGTGTACTTCGTCAATCTGCCTGTTCTGCTCCCCACTCTGTCTCTGGTGAAGCCTCTCACCGCCCCTGATCTCTGGCCTGTACCCCAGTTCTGTATGTACAAATAAAAAAATCTTAAAAAAAATATATATTAAAAAAAATAGAAGCATAAATGAATGTTCCATTATTTACACTAAAGCAGGCTACTAGCACTAGCAGTTAAAGCATTTGTCATAAAGCATTAACACATTAAATATATAATATAAAGGAGCAGAACCACTAGCATTTAAAAGAAGCTTTGTCAACTAGGTAATGGAATACAAAAGAATGTATGTCTGTTAAATATACTGGTAGAACCACAAAGTGAAGGAAAAAAGAGAAAAAGAAAAGAACAAAGGAATTTGTAATCACTCTCCTTTAAAATCACACTGAAAATAGACATCAATTCTTCTATACACTAACATTTTCAAAATAAATCATTTATACAAGAGAAAGTCCAGAACAAAAATATGTCTACAGAGGTATCAGCTTAAGTAAGTCAGCCTTGTACTGCTTTCCAGTAGTACTCAGGAGGGGTCTTTTCATAATCACTGTCACTAAACAGCTATGGAATGCTTTACCATATATTGTAGGAAATCATGGGCTAATGCAGTCATAAAGCACAGCTGGTCTTCTCGAGAGACAGGCCAACTCTGCTCCAGTAAGTAGCACCTCAGCTGGTGTGTTCCATCCACCTGGAACACAGGGTCATCTGCCAGTACCTCAACTACTATCTACTCTCAAACTCGACAGAGTGCTCAAGGTGACAGTGAAGTATTTTTGTATCCCTAGCACAACTACATTAACAGCACACTAATTATCTGTGTTTCCTTTAGATTTCATGTAGTTGCATAGTCCTCTTGAATGGAATCCACCACTTGGCAAAAATGTGACAGAGCTGCTTTTGCCTGTAATTAAATCCCAGTCATTGAAAAGCCATGGTTTTAGTTCTTCAGGAGTTTTTACTTTTAACTTCAATTCTCTTTATGAAAGTTTCCTCACTTTCAACAGTGTAATATCTACTTGGGCACTTTTCTTCTGAGAAGGCTGAGATGTCCCATTGGTGCTGCCAGCATCTCCATTTGCAGGAGTTTTCTATTTGTTCTTTGCTTTTGTTTTCATTTCAACATTTCTCTGCTACAGACTAGATGTCTTCTTTCCTGAGGTATCCACTCTCAATACCTCTATGCTGTTCCTGATTAGCTACTTGAAATTTTTGATGTTTCTGCTGATTGATGTCTACATATTTGAGCACTCTGCTTTCTGGAACTCCACCTATTCATTCTACTTCTTATACCAATCATTGCAAGCTATAGAGTATTTCACTTTTTCATCCTCTCTTGTGACATTTACACACTTTGCTTCATAAAGAAGAGGCCCACAAAAACACAGCACTCACTCACCCTCCTGGAATTTAGGGTTTTGATGCTGTGTTAGCACCATTTACATGTGATTCAACCACTCCCTCCTTCTCCCCAACATCCAAATACATCTCCCAACTCCTCACTCCACACAGCAGCCTTGCAGTTGACCCTCCCTGTTCTATTATTCATAAGTGACACCATAAGCGATTTATAAGTGACACCTACCTTCACAAAGGTAGGTCTGGCTTAAGTGTGTTTTTTGGTAGCACTGAACCTGCATTTACTCATTTAAGCTAAAAAGTTGGTTATTAGTGAGGTAAATCTTTTATACATGGCAGAAAATATCAGTCACTTGAAAATGTCATTGAAATTTCCAGATATACAGGTCATATATGACCCAGGAATAAAGCAGGTCCTAAGGAAATCAGGTTCAAGCTTAGCTCATTATTTAATAAACATTTTCCAGATATTTTGCACAACTTAAATACTAATTCAGTTCACTTAAATGTTTCAAACACTCAGAATGATATTAATGATATAATTTGCTGCACTTATATTCAAGTTCAATATTTGAAGCACTAAAACATGTAAAATGTATCACATGATCTGCAAGGAAGGGTCTAACCTTCATGAAATATTTATTTAAAGTGCAGGCAGCTGTAAGGATATTTTATAAGTTAGGAGAAACTTTCAGTGAGAAGAGAGAAACAGTACATTCAGTGAGCTTGTTTTACTTTCTTAATATGGCTCCACTATTTTTATGGACTAACTTAACATTTAACAATTTTATACCTAGAGGAAGAATCATAAATTAATAAAATTATATCAAAGTAGTGATTGAAAAAGTGGAAAATAGCTATGAGATCTTGGAAAACCATGGTGCTTTTCACATAGTTGAACTAAACAATTAATATCTTTAAATATTTTAGATTAGCTTCTAGCTGAAACAGATTATCATATTTCCAAAGGACTATTTATTCCCAATTCCCATTAAAGCCTTAATATATCATTTCTTTTGGTGGACAGTGGAAGGAAAGAATCTTTGTAGGCAGGGGTAATGAGAACTGTTGTTTTTTTGTGTCCTCCAGCTTCTTATAGAAAAGAATCAGAGAACAAAAAGGCTCAAAATGTAAAGTAGGAGCACATTTCTCCTGTTCAGTTTTAGCTAACTATCTTCTCCTTTGTGTAAACCAGGAACCACCTTTGCTTTCTACCACTAAGTCAAATGAAACTCAGCAGCATCTTCTGTAACTGCAAATGCATGGTATTGGTTATCCTAAATTGCATATGAGGCTCTTAAAGTGTTAGTACTATACAAAAAGATCACAAGAAAAAAAGTGAATGAATATTTATTCCTTAAAAATTCTGTCAGAGTTAGCCATTTGTTGTGACTATAATATTTGAAAGATCTTACCTTTAAAGTTTTAGCATTTGATGTTCTAGCTAAGAAATTTTCCCATGATTTATTAGCCAATTCTCTTTGCTTATGTGTAGCTTGTATCTGAAATTCAAGAAATTTTTTTTGAGAGTTCTCATCTCAAAGGCTACAAAAGGCTTATTAACAACCATTATTTGAAGGAAAATCTAGTTTTTGTGAAGGAAAAAAATCTAAGGCTGAATACCACAAGTATTAGAGTATTCATGGAATTCAACAATTAAAAAAAAGTCAAAGTGGAAAATAAAAAACATTCCCCCATATGAAATGTTTCTCATGAAATACAAAACTGTTGTAAAAACATAAAATTTTTAAATTATCATAATTCTCAGCAATTGTTTTATATGACTATCACTGTGTGAACCCATCACCCAGTCCAGGACAAGCTATATAAAAACAGATTCACAAAAGAAAAAGAAGAGATTCATGCTGTCACTGATAATATTTAGGCAAGATTATAATGTTACAATATTGCTAATACATAACTGCAGCAAGCAAGCAATTTTGTTAGAGTTCTGAGTTTGTTGTGGAGATGCATTCTAGGGAGATAAGTACTGACCAACTAAAAAGACTAGATAGTTCTACAAAATACAAGTTGGAGGAGACACTGGTACTTCACATATTATTAAATTTAAATTACAAATATTGAAACATTTAATTAAACTGCTAAAAATAGTGGATGCAGAATCATAACATATCAGCAACAACCAACCTAACAATAGCTAGGCCACACAACATTCTGCCATTTGAGCTAATACTATTGAATGTAATAGTTAAATCCGAGCTCTTTTTCCAGTGGTTTCTTTGAAAACTGCAGTTACTCAAAGTAATTTTAAGAGAACATTGTAAAATAATTCTAAGGAACAAAACATTTACAAATAAGGCAAAAATATGCTATGGATAACTTCAGCCAATTTATACATAGAAATTATGAGTTTGTGCTTTAATGGTAATCTGTGGCTTACTTTCGTATACACTTTTTGTTCATTTTGCACATCTTGGCGTACTTGGCTTTCAATCATCTCAGTTTGCAGGGAAGCAACCATCTTTCCAATATTTTCTGATGCTGTTGTAATAGCCTCCAAATTTTTTCTATCTGTAGTGACTGGTCTTAATTTTTCTAATTTTATTTCTTCATTTATTTCATTCCATATTTCTCCAATCTGTTATAAAAATTTTAAGTTTGAAAGTATAGATTAACCAAAATTAAATGATACAGTTTTAGATAATCTTTTGTCTGGATGGTGCTCCAAAGTTAACAAATACTGTCCTAGCTTTTCCTAATTTACTTACTGAGAATAAGTTAAGTGGGAGTGATCTGGGACACCAGTTACAGTTGAGTCTTTGGAAGTAACTTACCAAATGTTTTTCAATGGCAAGGTATTCATTGATGGGACTCTAACTCTAGTTTACTGCCCTCTGGTTTATAGTTACTATTTTCAGAGTTGCAAAAAGTGCTGCATTGTTTTCATCCTCTTGAAATAGTGATGTTATTAAAAAGAAAGAAAGAAATACTGATGCTTTCCTTCTGAAAGCCCTGTATTGAAGGCTAGGTCAAGCTCAACTTGTAGAAAAATGAACATGGGATTCCTGGAACCCTAGGGCCCCTCCCTGCCTACCTGGGGATATATGGGCTATATGGCCCTCTACTTACATCCTACTTAAGATAGTAATTGAATTTCAGGCTCTTAACTCAATGATTTTATCATGGTGATAATCCCATCTCATAACAGTTATTTGAAAACTAATGTGCTTGATTATGGTTAAGTTTTGAGAAGAATCTATATATCCAGGATTGAGATAAATTTCAGGTCTGTTTTCATTTGGAAAGATGTTTATTCATTTACATTTAAATACACAATGCTATTATTAGTAGAGAATATTTACTTAAAAAAACTTCCTTAAGCCCACTGAGAACTAAAAAGCAGTTAGTTTCATAAATTCTAACCAGCAAAATCAGTGACCTAATATCCTTCAATATTTGACAATCATATAAAGTAATGACAAAATACTTGAAAAATATTAGTATTTTAATTAGTAATAGTAAGTAATAATTCATTTAATTATAGCTCCTAAAGCCCTCTAAAGTGAAGCAAGTATATAAATGTTTTTTTTTTTTTAGGTGTGACTAGCTCTGTGTCAGTAACATCCATTTTGTATAAATGAAAGATTGGATGCAATCTCATGCCACAGAGAATACCCAATTGGTTGTTTCTTGATATTGTAAGCACAAAATAGAAAATAAAAACAGTACATGAGTGATTGCCCACAACTATGAAGGCATTATTTCACAATTGATTTTTTGCCACTCTAGAGTTTAATAAGTTTATTAAGAAAGTACTCACTTTAAAATCAAGATATCTATGTATGATACAGAGGGTGACAAAATCTTCAGCAGATAGGCCAGGTAAATTTTCAAAATCTAAACAAAGTTTATAATGTGAGAATTACTTTAACAAGTGATTCCAAAAGCTATATCTCTATCATTAAAACAAGCGCAAACAGTGGGACTCCCTGATGGCAGAGGGGTTAATCTCAGCACTATCAAACCATCACCAGCAACTGCACCATGAGTTCCCTCCCCTGACCATGGAGTTGACCCCTCCTGCCTGGCCCACTGCTTCCCCTTAGCAGTGTGTTTCAGTAGATCTTTCTGTTCTTCTCTCCACTCTGTCCAGGTAAAACCTCTCACTCCCCTCTCCTCCCTCTTAACCACCCCCCCTCCCCACACACACTCTCTGGCTTATAGCACAGTTCTTGTATGCATTAATACATCTTTTTAAAAAGTACAAACAGCTATTTTTTATTTTATCTCAATTTATAAAGTAGTTACTTCAGTGAGCTGCCTTCTTCCTATGACAGACATTTTCCAGGTCATCCTATCTAGTCATTAGGAAAAATATCCTTCCTGTGTTGTAGATAGACAATGGTTATGGACTTCTAGAAGCTAAAGTGTGCTTGAGAACTTTTTCTTTAGTAGGAACAAAGACTTGAAAAAACTCAGGGGTGCTTAATCATTCATCATTTGAACTAACTGCATGTAATCCTGTCTGCACAGTGGAATTTCCTGGGGAACTTTTAAAAATATGAATGCCTGGACCTCACAATCAGATTTTGATTAATTGGGGGGGGGGACAGCCTGGGCATTAGGGTGACAATAGAACATGCATTCATCTTTATACAAAGGGACTTTTGTTCATGTTTGAAAAATGGATTCCAATGCAAAATCAACTTGTGCATTCTGCAAAACAGAGAGTCTCTTGTCAATTTGTAAAGTAGTTTCTTACCTAGTTTGCCCAACACAGCATAAATTTTTGCCCTGATATTCTCAGCAACATCCATAACTGCTATAGTTGGACAGTTAGCAGGCAGTGATATGAATTTTTGTTCTTCTTGAAAACTAGTAAATAGAGGTGTCTTTGTATCTATCCATTGGACATCATGAAAACATTGGAGACAGATAAAAATCATAGCAAATTAATAATTTTTAGGTTTTAGACTAGCTATCATAAAATTTATTAAAATATTATAGTAAAAAACTGCCTTATACACTGTTATTTGTTACTTATATAAAAATAAACACTTATATTGGCCCTTTCCCTTTCTCCTGTATTATTATGTAAAATACAAACATTTCACTAAATTAGTGTTTTAAATGTGAAACTTTCACTCAAAATTTTCTAACTTTGAGATCCAGAAATCTAACAATATTAATTGAATATTGTAATCTTTGCTTTTGGTTTCTGGATGTAATGCTATAGATTTAAAAATCATAAATAAAAGTAAAACAATAAATATGGATTGAAGATAGAAATTATTAGAATTTCTGTCATTAATTGTCAGAACAAAAGAGGAAGTATTTTCATGTAAAAATAATTAACACTAACAGTTTATTATGTATTTTAAAAATATTTTTATTGAGTTAATATGGGTTTCTACAATAGGCTTCCCCTTCAGGCATTGTTGCTATAGTGCACCCACTACCACAGAACCCATAGTCCACTGCCACAGACTTTATGCTCCTTCTTCTTTGTTTTCATTCCTCTTCTCCCTCCTCTGCCCTTCTATATGTCCCCTTTCCACAGTCACCATGCAAGTGTTAGTTTTTTACTTTGGCTTTATCTGACCATTAGTTTTTCTATATTCCACATATAAGTAACACCATCTGGTGGTTGTTTTTCTCCTGCCTGATTTTGCTTCAATACTAGCAGTTTAGATGAAACCATAATAAGAATCTTAAGACATTTATAAAATGTAATGTTATCATTGTAGAACAGATATATGAACTATAAAATGTGACACTGTCAACCTCATTCATTTAAAAATGATTAAAATTTATCAGTGTTTGATTTTTACTTGGAAAACAGTTTCTCCTTTCAAATGTAAAAAGAAAGTTAAATAAATATGAATCAACAGGAATGTACAAAACACTACAAAAATTGTTTTCAAGTACTCTTATTACATCCTAAATTTTATAGTAAGTGAAATACTACTGAGTCTATTTGTAAAGGCAATTAATACAAAGAAACTTCTTTTGAAAGTACTGTTAGTTTTTCTGAGTTTAAGAATATAATGCCATTTTTTGAAAATATTCTATAAAACTATGAACCTACTACTAATTTAATTTTCTTCCATTATTCAAATGCATGATAGCAAGATTTACTAATTATTGTTAAAAGAACTTAAAGAACATGAAAGTCTTCATATTCCCTAATATTGTTTAAAGATCTCTTTTAAAATATGCATCTAGTTGCTTCTACTAACAATTATAAATATACTCACCAATGATCTTCCCATATTTATCACGTTTTACTCCTAGTTCTTTCTCTTCCTTTCGCCACAATTTAATTAAAAGACTAGCAGCTGTCTGGTCCTTTTTCCCTCGCCAAGCCTTGACATGAGCCGTAGTTTTGGGATTATCACAAAATTCAACCATTATTCCAAGTATTAGATTACAGAATTTTTTTTGGTTCAGCTTTTTCAAAGAAACAGAAAAGGAAAAGAGTTGCAATAAATTTTAAGAATTACTTTGAAGGGAGAAAATTTTGCATTATTCATTAAGTTTCTTCTAAAAAGTTGTCATAAAATTCAGAACCTATAATTTGGGGCAAGCTATTAAAATGCATATCCAAAGTACATTTTCAAATATTCAAAATTCGGGGACTAAAAGAAAGATTCTGATGTGGTCATAAATATGTCATAATCAAAAATGTAATTTGATTTGGGTAAATTGAAAAAAGGGAGATTTTAAAAATAAGTGAAGATATTCGTTTTAAGTAGAGCAAGGTCAGCAGTGCTATCTATATATGTCACTGTGATTTTAGGATTTTTTAATTTACTGCTTTATTAAGGGTTGTAAAGACTAGCTATAATGTCATTGTTATTAAGAAAATAACTGATAGTAGCTGCAAGTGGCAGTCACATGTGCAAGTAAATATAAGGGACACTAATTTTGCTTTTAAAAAAATCTGTAAAAAAAAAACTCTTAAGCATTTAAGAAAAATATCCATTACATTTTCTTTGCTTTGCTAAAACTAATTTTCAGCAAGCCAAGATTTTGATATAGAATAGTCTATCTAGAGCAATTGTCTCCACACCATAATGGTTTCTGTGTGAATTTTTTTCCCAATTAACTCATAGTATAATGCTAACATAGCAAAGGAAATATTTGAAATGCAAACATCATAAGTTTTCTCTTTTATAAAATGAAGGATAATGATATTACCTGTTTAAAGAGTTATGATAATGAGTCATATGAAATGGCCTCGTACATAGTAAGTTTTCAGTAAAACCATTATTAACAATTATCATTGCACAACAAATAAACACGTTAGCAGATTGTATTAAGCAGAACACTCAATTGAGTTTTTTTCCTATTCTTCACTTATAGGAGAAAGAACTAAATACGAAGGGTTGATACAAAAATTTCATTAAAGAACACTTGTAATTTGTTGGTAGTTTGATTGATTTAATCCACATTAAGCAAAAACTAATAATTATCTTCATAATAATAGAAAACTCTTAACAAAAGGATGTCAGAAACTAAGTATTGTTAATTCTAACCATTGTTAGTAACTACTGTATATGTGTGCACACATTTGTAGACATAATCGCGCAGATATTCCTCCCAAAGTGAATCAGGTAGATACTAGTTGTAGGGTAAATGAAGATTGCTCAGGCTTTTGTGCTGTTGGCCTCTGTGGTTATCACCTGTGGCCTTGAATGCAGGTGGTTCTTGCGAGCGTGGGCTCGGGCACCTATGTCTGACAGTGGACACATGGAATATGGTGTGAGCATGCTTAAGTGGGCACACCTGGGCCTGGAAACAGTCTATGAGGGTGGGCAGCAAAGGATGGGGTGGCAGAGGGCCAAGTGTGGCAGAGAATAGTGGAGAGACCACGTGGAATGCCAGAGAAAGCCCAGAGTAAATATCCTCTGGGGGGTAGGATTGGGATGGGAGCCATAGGAGAGGAGGTCTGGTTGCCTCACTGCATATAAATGGTGTAAAAAGATCATTCAAAGCCAGAAAAAAAGGGCCTCCCTGGTGGCCCAGGGTTTGAAGTCTTGGCACTATCAAGCTATCACCAGCCACTACAGCATGAAATTGGCCCCTGACCTCCAGCCAGGGAGCTAAACCATATGGCTTAGTAGACCTCTCCTGTCTTGCCCACTGCTTCCCTCAGGAGTGTATTTCAGTAAAATGCCTCTTCTGATCCCACTCTGGTGTGGTGATGCAATCACCACACATACCTCTGGCCTACACACCAGTTCTTGTATGCATCAATAAATAAAATCTAAAAAAAAAAAAAGGCATGAAAAAATCAGGAAGGCTCTTTCACACACCTACCCCTACCTGGATCCATAGAGAAGCTGCCCTGTGCCTTTCTGGTGCTACACTAGTGATAGCTTTGTTTTACAGATGAAAACATTGGTAACAGAGATGTAAAAGAACTTATTCAAACTATGCAACTAACAAGTAATGGAGGCTCAGTCACTTTGATTCCAGCCTGTGTTCTTAGCCACTGTGCCATATGGCTTCTCCTACCAGTCTTCTTCATTTTTTTTTTTAAAGATTTATTTATTTATGCACACAAGAACTGTGTTACAGGCCAGAGGTGTGGGGAGGTTGATGAGATGATATGCCAGAGACAAAGTGGGGAGCAGAACAGGCAGCTGTACTGAAATACCCTGCTGAGGGGAGCAGCTGGCAAGACAGGAGAGGTCTCCTGTGCCATGTGGGTCTCTTCCCTGGCTGGGGATGGAACTCGTATAGCAATGGCTGCAGTTAGCTTCACAGTGCTGCTGTGGCCACCAGGGAGGGCCCAATTTTAGCCTGTTGGCCACCAGGGAGGGCCCAATTTTCTTAATTCTTTTCATCAAAGAAATTCAAATGCAAAGGAAAGTAAACACAGTGAGTAATGTCTTTGAAGTTTCCTATGTAATCTTACATATTAATATAAGATCTAATTATTTAATATATACACATTTATATATATATACTTATATATATATTTTATATATACACATTTATTTATATATCTCCAATTACATATATTTATTACATTTTAAAGGGATAGGATTATTAGGAAGAGGAGGAAGAAAAAGAGACATGTGTCCATTTGCAGGTGGGCAAGAAAGCTGCTGCTCCTCTTTTGCAAAGGGAAAAGTTTTGTGAAAAGAAACTGCGGAGTTACAGGCAGGCAGGAGAGCTGACTTCCAAATCTTGAAGTGAAAGCAAGATTCCAGAGAGATGTCCAAGTTAACTTTGTGACTTTGAGAATTCTCTGACATATCACTATGTGCTTTCTTGTACTTACTGAGGGAAACATTCTGAGCTATATATATCATTGAGCTATATACATTAGTAGAGCTATATCCTTCTGCATTATGTTCAACTTTCTGGACTTTATAAGGGTTTCTGGTTTTGATTCATTCCTCTTATCAAGGTGGATTATTATTAGCTTATTTTTATAGTGTTTTATAGCTAATAGGTTTGCTTTCAGACAAATGAGGATACAATTACCATCGCTAATTTAAACTAACAGTAAGTTTATTTTATTTTGTTACTCAAATCAATAATAGCGGTCACAATGACACATGTAGAACTCTGAGTTAGAATATCTCCTAAAGTTTTATTGAAAAAAATTATACTTTTAGTCCTACATTATCTCAACTATGAATCCACTTACGACTGAGGCTAGTAGATATAACTTGGATGATAAGTGGGGCTTTTGCCATTCTTCACAGCTTCTAGAAGCAATTGTTATTGGAAGAATTCTCAATACTGTTCATTTTGTAAAATGGTGGCCCATATCTACAAATGTGTGTCTTTACTTTGTCTAATATTGCCCTTAAATGTTGAGAGATGTTATTAATAATTACATCACCTGACAGTTTCTTCTAGGTTGGGGGGAAAAATGTCATGAAACAAATTCCCTTGCAATATGTGTTGGTAACACTGACCTAATTAAAAATTTCTTCACTGGAGGAATTTTTGGTGCCCTTAATATGATAAGTATCTCATGAATCTCCAGGAGGGATTTTGTTTGAAACAAATATTTAAACATGATTTGTGGGCATATTTAATCACAGAATAGTGTTCTGTGCTACTCTGTTTGGAAAGTGTTCATAGAGACAAATCTATCTTTTGCCTTATAACTGTCATAGTGATACTTACTGCCAATAAATCCAAGAGGAGAAAAATTCCTTCCTTTTCAAGAAAGTAATCCTCTGAAGGGTAACAACCCAAAATGCAGCACCTTAAATAAAAAGGAAGCTATTCATTTAACAAGCATTTATTGTTAAAATCAAATTTTGACTTTTTCCCATCATAAAGCAAAAGCAATAAATGTTTTTCTCTTTTCCCTTAAGTCAAATAACTATTCTTCCTTTAAAAATGAACTTTGAGGGCCCTCCCTGGTGGCGCAGCACTGCAGGTAATCTGTAATCCCAACCACTTTGGTGCCAGTTTGATTCCCCTGCCGGGAAGGTGTTCCACAAGGTGTGGCAGCCCTCTCCTAGCCCTCTTCTGACCCGCCCTCAGCTCCACTCAGCAGTGTACTTTGTCAATTTGCCTGTTCTTCTTCCTACTCTGTCTCTGGTGAATCCTCTCACTGCCCCTGTCTCACTAGCCTGTACCCCAGTTCTGTATGCATAAATAAATAAATCTTAAAAAAAAAAACAAACTTTGAAGAGACTTTTCCAGGTAGTTTCATTTCATCTATTGCTAACCACTATCAATTCTTTTACATAATTTCCCTTTTCTTTCTTTCTTTTTTTTTACTGAAGATGCAATATTCTTTGCTTTCATGATACTAATCTTACAAGTCTCTGATTGCTCTCTTCAAAGGTTATCCACTTATTTTCTCTTCCACAGTATTGGCATATCTCAATCATTTGATGGCTTTTAATTACATCTCACCTTTGCAGTGGAGATTATTTGCTGTTGTGCCCGCTGCTTAGCTCTGTGCTGCTCACATGGAGTGAGGGATGGGAGTTGATGCCATAGACTGAGCTGAATAAATTGTTAAACTGGTGGGTGCGGTGGGGGTAGGACATAGTTTAGAGACTAATCTCAATTCCTCTCAGGTATTACAAGCCTCCTGGGGTCAGCTTCCTGTTCCATTAATGTTCCATTAAACATTGCTGTTATTTAGTTATTTATAGTTAAACAATAACAGTAGTTGTTTACCAGGGTTCACTCTGAGAGGAGAACCTTGCTTCAGCTGCCCTTAGGTAATGGCAGTTGCTTGAGTTGTGGGGAGTGGCGCATCAAGGCCTTAAGCTTTCACATCAGTGGTGCCAGTTTTTACCATTGCTGGGTATAAAGCCAACTCCATTTCACTTTTGAGTAGTACCAAGTCAAAATGGAATAGGTTCAAAACACCAAACCAAGGATTTATGTTTCGATATAAGAAAAAAATTGAATTTGAGTAATGGACAGGTTACTTTTGAAATGACTGGTAAATGTCATTTCTAGGCTACTGAAAATAACATTGAGAATTATCTTTCTGTTGTATTTTTAAGGGAAAAAGAATTGGTGCACATAGCTATAGAGATAAATTTCTTGTACTCCGATTATAAGTTGGCAAAGCAATACTCACCAAATGCTGTCTAATGTGCTAAAAAGAAGTACATTATAGCCTACTCCACTCTGTAACTTCTTGGGGTCTGTTTTCATAACGTGAAGAATCATATCCACTCCTTCCGTTCCAAAAATTTCCTAAGAGATTTATTTTCAATTATTTCTTAAGTGAACAATCCCTTCCTTTCTCTCTTTATTCTATCTCCTAAATGTATTCTATCACAGAAATAACATATTGCTTGGAAAATAGTACTTTTATGCATTTTAAAAAAATTTATACCCATTTATAGAAATTTAAAACAAATACTATAAAGCTAAAAATTTAGAGAGGACATCAACCAATAGGCCAGATTAATGTTCCTTTATATTTTTGTCCTTTCTCTTTATTAAAAAACATAAGCCTTATATCATGATTTTCTTCCATGTTAATTAATAAATAAAGCCTAACATCTTGCCAGATAAATATTAGACAGCAAAAACTAATATAAAAGTGTTAAATATTGTCATGGAAGATATTCTAATGCTTCACAGAGAGAAGTAAGTATACAAATGGCAGTTAAAACCTTTAAAAATTTACATGAAGTTATTACCATTTAATACTTGTCCCCTACCAGTGGGACATTGTCTGTTGTTCGGTTCTGTTCCCAGTAACAACACTTTGAATACTGTTGTAGAAGAAAACTCAGGCATAGAGTATAGATTAAAAGGAGACTTTGGGCCCTCCCTGGTGGTGCAGCGGGTTAAAGCACAGCACTAAATAGCTAACACCACTTCAGCATGATTTCGATACCCAGCCCCAGAGCTAACCCACAGGGCGCAGCAGACCTCTCCTGACCCGCCCACTGCTCCCCTCAGCAGTGTACTTTGTCATTTGGCCTGTTCTGCTCTCCACTCTGTCTCTGGTGAATCCTCTCACCACCTCTGCACCACTGGCCTGCACCCCAGTTCTGTATGCATAAATAAATAAATCTTTTCTTTTTTTAAAAAAGAAAACGCTGCTGCAAAGCCTGAAGCTAAGTGTACAGTTACTGTGTTTGATGCCTCTCTAAATATCTCTATCAAAATTGTCATATTTTTTACCTTTCCAATTCTGTCTGTTGCTGTTTATCAGTCCCTAAGATACAGAGTTTGCTATGGAGTTAAAAAAAAAAATCAAAGGGAATTAAGCTTTTATTTCTAACTTTTAGTTTTAAGTATGAACTCAATTAAATCTGAAACATTAGGGCCTCCCTAGAGGAAGAAGGGGTTGAGAGGTAGCACAATAAAGCTATCCACAGCCACTGCAGCATGAGTTCAACTCCAGCCAGGGTCCTGACCCATGTGGCGCAGCAGATCTCTTCTGCCTCACCAGCTGCACCCCTCAGTAGTATATTTTAGTAGATCTGCTTGCTCTGCTCATCTGCCTGCTCTCCTCCCCACTCTTGTGTCTAGTGAATCCTCTCACCACCCCTGCACTTCTGGCATGTATGATGGCTCTTGTATGCATAAATAAATACATCTTTAAAAAAACAAACAAAAAACCCTGAAACTTTGTTTATAATGGCATAGCCCATTTTAGAAAACTGTTCTTAAAAAATGCATCTACTTTGATGACTGGATTAAAAAGATGTGGTACACATATATATAATGGAATATTACTCAGCAATCAAAAAAGAAACACATGTCTTTTGCAGCAACTTGGATGGAGCTGGAAAAGATCATGCTTATTGAGATAAGCCAGAAAAAGAAAGAAAAATACTGGATGGTTTCACTCATAGCAGGAGTATAATGGACCAGGAGAGAAAATAATGAGAATAATGAACAGCCATACACCAGAGACATTGTGTGGGGGTGGAGTGGGGAATGGGATAAAAAACGAAACGAGGGGGTGGAGGGGAGGGAAGTGCACAGGACAATGGTGATGGCACATGGGTGACTCAGTGATGGGAAAACCACAGGGATTACAATTGAGATAAAAAATAAAATGTACAAAATGATGTAAAAATAAACTAAACTATTATATTATAAAAAAATAAAAAGAGGGACCCTTCCTGGTGGCGCAGCGGGTTAGAGCACAGCACTGAGAAGCTAAAGCCGCTTCCGCATGAGTTCGATCCCCGCCTGCCCCGGAGGTGACCACATGGCGTGGCAGACCTCTCCTGACCCGCCCGCTGCTCCCCTCAGCAGTGTGCTTTGTCGATCTGCCTGTTCTGTTCCCCACTCTGTCTCTGGTGAAGCCTCTCGCCGCCCCTGAGCCTCTGGCCTGTACCCCAGTTCTGTATGTACAAATAAATAAATCTTTAAAAAATAATAAAAATAAAAAGAGGTAAAAATATAAAAAAAAGAAAAAGAAAACACCTTTCCAGAAAAATAAAGTTGAATGCTATAGCTGTAAAAAAAAATGCATCTACTTTAAGATCTGTTGAGTGTACTCCTAGTATCTACCTAAGAGAAATAAAATTATTATGATCATGCAAAGATTTACAAGAATGTTCATTTAAGCTTTATTCATAATAGTCCCAAATGGAAATAACCTAAGTGACAATGTGAGAATGGGTAACAAGTTTAGGTCTATTATTATTCAGCCTTAACAACATGGATATATTTCAGAAATATGATGCATGATGCTGGATGACAAGCCAGATATAAAAGTTAATATTATATGATTCCATTCACATAAAATTAAATAAGTAAAACTAACTAATGAGGATAGAAATCAGAATGTGGTTGTCTCAAATCAAATAATATATTTTAATTGGGTTATAGTTTAAATTGGTATACCCATTTATCAAAACCAGCTAAACTATATGTTGAGATCTATATACTTTTACAAATAATTATAATCATAAAAATACTAAATTACAAGGTTAAAAATACCATCATTACTTTGCAAGGTTAAAAATACCATCACTTATGGACAATTACTGAGAAAAAGTTTGTTATCTTACTAGAAGATCTAAATAAAACTTTAATATCCAAGTATCCATACCTTTCTAGGAATGTGATGTTCACAAAGGCCAGATAAGATAAGTAATATATCAGACTGAATTTCCAAAACAATGGCCTCTTCCTTATCATTAGACTTGTGTATTGTGTTTTTAAACATTCCTGTATAAAAATAATTACAGAATGCTGTTATTAGACACTGTATTTTCATTTTACTTTGAAATCCTTATAAAATTTCACCTACATAAACCATTTTAAAAGGTACATTCTTCATTGCACAGTTACCTTGGTGATGTTGATGAAGATGATAAATGGATACAATGAGCTCCCAATATAACCAGACCACTACTTTACATCATGTGCAAACTTAAGTCAGAAGGAGAAAGAGAAACACTAGATGGCATCACTAATATGTGGAATATAAAGCAACTAAATTACGAATCTGATAAAGACAAGCTAGAAAACTAACCTCTGATACATGGTGAGTACTAAATGGATAGGAGCAAAAGAATAAGGAGGAATGGGCCAGACAGAGGCAAGGATGGAGGGAAGGAAGTACAGTGGACCATGATGTTGGAGGATGGATGATTTGGTGTTGGATGTACTTTGGTGCAACTACCTGATTGGGTATTTACTCAATTAAAAATAAAATTAATTTGAAAAATGGATCAAAGACTTGCAGATAAGACTTGCATGTAAGACTATAAAATACATAGATGAAAACATAGGCAAAACATTCTGACACTGGCATGAGTGATGTCTTTTGGGATATGACTACTGTGGTAAGGGAAACAAGCAAAATTTAACAAATGGGGACTTTATCAAAATGAAAAGCTTCTGTACAGAGAAAAACTATCATTAAAATGAAAACGCATCCTAAAGAAGAGGGTGGCTAAACAACTAAACTAAGTATCAGATAGAAACAAGCTAGAAAACTAACCCTGGATAGCTGACATATTTGCATATCATCAAACATCTGACACGGGGCTAATATTTAAGATCTACAAATAACTCGTAAAATTCAACAAAAAGAATACAACCCAGATGGCCAACAGGCACATAAAAAAATATTCATCACTTGTCATAGGAAAATGCAAATGAAAACCACAATGAGATACAACCTCATAGCCATGAGAATGGCCCATGTCAAAACAAACGGAAGAAAGTGTTGGTGAGTGTAGAGAAAAACCAACCAACAAGTGCTGGTGGGAATGGAGACTCGTCTAGACTCTATGGAAAACTGTGGAGTTTTCTCAAGACATTAAAAATAAATCTACTATATGATTTATTCTTAAATATCTGTCTAAAGAGTATTAAGACGTGGTTCAAAGGGAGTTATGCACTTGCATGTTCATTGCAGTACAATTTCCAATAGTTGTGCTGTGAAAACAATCTACATGCCCAAGGGAGATAAGTGGATAAAGAGTACCTAGCATATTTACACAGTGGAATATTGCCCCACTGTTAAAAAAAGTTGCCATTTGTGATAACGTGGCTGGAATTAAGGAGGGATTAAATAAATTAGAAAGAAAAAGACATATACTAGATAATTTCACTCATGTATAAACTATGAAGAAACAAAATGAAATAACAGACAAAAACAAACCAAAATAAACCTTGGAAATCTGACTGTGGAATTGAGGTTATCAGAAGGGAAGGTTGGGGGTGCAGAACAAAGAGGTGAAGGGATCCAATGGTCACTGATGGTCACTGATAGGTCACTGATGGTGGACATGGTGTGATAACATACATCTGATGAGATGTGAACCCATCCTTGTAAAACGTGTATAGTATTGTAAACCAATGTTAGCTCAAAAAATAATTTTATTTTTAAAATAAGGAAGTGAATGTTTTTGTCTAGCCCCCTTTTCAGTATCTTTATTTTGCTTTAACATTATTATTAAAGAACACACTGCCCTAATGATGAAAGAATAGACAATAGGTAGAAGAGTTTTTGAGAATTTGTAATCCTGATATCTGACAAATTATATCACTTAGGAGCCAATCACAATGTGTATATAATTAAAACTGTTCTTTTAAAAAATCAGGTGAAGTTACAGCCAGAAGACCTTTTTTTAAAACAAAGGTAAGAGCCATTTTTTTAAGCATTCTGAATTGACACTGACCTCACGTGTATATATATCGGGGATAAAGTGACTTAATATAATCAATTCTAAGCTGAAAATCAAGGATATTGGATATTTCATATCAGAATCTCCTGTGTACATTCCTGTACCTACCACCATATCAGTGTTCTGATACAGCAGAAATACTGGAAAATGTATCCTATTTAAAATGACTTCCAAAAACATTGTCAAAAATTGACTTATTAGTAAAAACAACAAAATAATAATTCATTAAAAGAAAAGATAATAATCCTAAATGAAATGGTATCTGAAATGGCAAACAATGTTAAAAGTGTGAATGACCATGTTTCAATAAAGACAAACTCATTTGTAGCAACAACATGAGACAAAATCAAGAAATATTCAGGATTTTCTCATGTAAAAAGATAAAGTGCATTTACAGAAGAATACATCAAACAAAACTTTCAATATTTACAACTACTTCATAAATTCACAAATATGTTTTACCTATCAGTTGCTGAATTGTTCCCTTTTCACAAAGATCATGGTTTATAGTCTCATTCTCAAGATAGACCATCGCTCTTAGGAGTCTTAAACTGTAACGCATCTGGGCAAACTTATTTCCACGGCCACCTGTCCCATGAAAACTATTACCATGACTAAAGAAGGAATCTGTGAAAAATATCAATTTATATTAGAAAATTTAAAACATAAAACATTTTGAATAAACAAACTAGAACATCAGACATTTTATATAGTAGCTATAATCTAAAATGATGTTGATTTTATCACACTTGCTTTAGTTATTTTTAGAGAAATAAGTATTGCCCTGTTCCCCTTCTTTCTTCTAATCCAGTATTGAAACATGTACCTTACAATTTTATTTTATTTATATACATTTATTTATAAATGTACCTTATTTATCTTTGCCAACTTGCTTCTGTTACTAAATTTTATTTTTGAAAATTATATTTTTCACAAGTAGATCTACACCATTCATTTTTTTAAGATTTATTTTATAAATTATAAATAAATCAACTTACTCATTTACTAGCCTAAGCTGCCAGAGTAAACACTCTAGGTCATGTTCTCTTATTCCCAGAGAGAAGTTTCACCATGTGACACTGGAATCATATAGAGTATAACCACATTACATTTTATTCAAGTTCTAAACTGTTTACTAAAATGGTTATATTGCTACAGTGTGTAATACTAATAGAGTTTTCCACAATCTGTTAAATGTGAAATGATAAGTTTCACATTTAAGATTAAGATTGTAAATGGGGTGAGCCCTCCCTTCCCTGGTGGCGCAATGGGCTAAAGAACAGCACTATGAAGCTGTTTGCAGCCACTGCAGCATGAGTTCAATCCCTGGCCTGGCCACATGGTGCTGAGACCTCTCCTGTCTCACCTGCTGCTCCTCTTAGCAGTGTGTTTCAGTCAGTCTGTCTGTTCTGCTCCCACTCTGTGTCTGGTGAATCGTCTCACCCCCCACAACTCTGGCCTGTACCCCAGTACTTGTATGCATAAATAAATCTTAAAAAAAATATTGTAATTGGGGTTGAGCATTTAAATTTATTTTTTAATCTGAGATTTTTTTCCTGACTTTTTCTACTTCTTTACTTAATTATTTTGTATTTGTATTTGTAGGAGATCATTATGAACCTCAATTCTAGTCAGTCTCGAAATAGTAAACGTCTTCTCTCAATTTGTAGATTGCTATTTATTGTATTCAGCTTTTTCCTACAAACATCTCAAAGTCTTATATTAGTTAAATTCATCAGTCTTCTTTATGGTGTAGATTGTTTTTCAAAAATCTCTTCGTATAAAAATATTTTTTCATGTTATTTTCTAATATTTTATAGGCTTAACTTTTCATATTTAGGACTTTGATTCATTTTATAATTATTTCTTTCTACAAGGTGAAAGAACCTAATATTAATTTTTTCACATGGAGGGTCAATGACCCCAGCATCAGCTTTATCCATATTTGACAACATGATCTCTGATAATGACAACTTCCCATTTCATTGGTCTATTCCTTGCTTTTATTTACTATATTTTATTTTATTTACTATAGCTTTATGACATCTTGATAAACAGCAAGACAAGTTCTTCTTTCCTTCCTCTTTGAAGAAAATTTATTCTTTAAGAAGTTCTTGAGGTCCTCCCTGGTGGCGCAGCGGGTTAAAGCACAGCACTGAGAAGCTAAAGCCACTTCCTCATGAGTTCGATTCCCGCCTGCCCTGGAGGAATATAGAAACCAGCTAATTTAGGAATTTTTAGA